ATAGGCCAGTAGCTCTGGAGTTGGACAGACAGACCTGGTTTTGAATCTGTATGACCTTAGGCAAGCAGTTAACTGCTCTAAGTGTTGGTTTCTTCATCTGAATGAAAATGGAGAATAGTAGATACCACAAGTATCATTGGGTGGATTAAATGAAAAATCATATTGGCACAGAGAAGGTACTTATTAAATTATAGCTTTTATGACAATTTCACTACTTAAAAATCACTCTTATATTTCATAAAGGAAACTATACTTAGGGAATCTTCCTAAAATGATGTAGATAGCACAATTTTAGAAATTGCAAGTTTTGAAAATGTAAAAGCCCTCTTTATCCCTAATCTTTTCTGTTTGTCATCAGACTTATTAATAATGTACATATAAAACTAATACTTTCACTATTTTATATTGGGGACATCTCATGTTTACATCACCTTCTTCCATATTTGATCTTGAGAAATCAGATAAGCATCTAAGCCTTTAAAATTTTATCACTCAATGTTTTATCGCCGTTTAAATGGGCCAACTTGAGTCTAAGCAGAGCTGACAGGCCTCCCAGAGCCCTGAGAGCTGTTTCAGAATTCTCTGGTTTTGCTTTTAGGGACCGTGTTTGGGTTTTGTTTTGCAACAGTGTCTGGCTTGGTATATGGCAGGAAAAATAAACAGTGTGAAGTTGGGTAGCACATTGCCACCCAGAATATAAATCAGCATTCTCTTTCTGAGAAAGCAAACTGGATACTGGGTAGGCAACTAGTGGACTCTTCTATTTTGTGTGAGTGATAGTACTCTCTCCCAATTCCTTAAGATCTTTCCTCACATTTGCATAACTTCTGAATTTGGCTTCTTGCGGGCTGGGGGAGGGCTGGAGCATTTGATAGTGATGTTTAAACGTAATGTATATCAAGAACCTAGCAGAGTGCTGGGCCCTGTTTCATGCATTATCTTACATAATCTTTACAACAGACTTTTGGGACAGATCCCATGGTTGTCCTTATTTTACTGAAGAGGAAACTGAGGCTCAGAGCAGTTACATAACTCACCCAAGGTCACATACCTAATAAGGGTAAAGATTGGATGTCAACCTAGGATGTGCTGGCTTCACAGCCAGAGCCTCTTACCCAGCTATGCTGCTTCTCTATGTTCTATCTGCTCTTAGCCTTAACGGAAATATTAAGCACTTGGTGTTGGTGTCTTGGCTGATCTTACATATCATCTCTCAATGGCCTCTGAACATCACTGCTTCACCTGGCACCCACGGCCACTGTGTGGCTTTCATTGAATCCACACTTTTCTCCTTTTTTTCCTCTAAGCATTGTGTTTACTCTGTGTGTTGGCAGCAGGAACTGAAAAGGAAATGCAGAAAAAGCATCTAACGGTTTTCATAACGTAAACCAAATGTTGGTAGCGTGGGTGAGCTCTTGGGAGGAAAGGCGCTATATAAATCTGACAGATAAATAAATAACTGGTTCTTTAAATAAACTGGCACTGAAAAAGCCTTAATCTGTAACCTATTGAATTTAGAATCCCTTGATAGTCAGAAGTCTCCTTTTGCTCACCAACTGTGACCTCACTACCACCTGAGCCCTGTTGGGATATGAGTGTGGGAGTGCGGGTCAGAGGGGTTGGGAGTGAGCGGGGAGAGGTTTGTTAGGAACCAGGTCTCTCTTCCACTGAAAATGCTTGCCTGCCTCAGTAAACAAGAGGCATCTTTGTCACAGCTGTATTATGTATACAACACATTCTTAGGTACTTCAAAGGATTGGGAACAGGGAAAGGGGGTTCAAATGAAGGTCAGTGAGTAAAGTTCACAGAATGTATTTAGGGGAGAAGAACTGAATTACTTTACTAATCTCAGCAAATAAAAGCCGTTATCAGCAGCAAGCTCTGAGAGACTTTCTTCCAAATATGTTGGTTTTGTGACCTACCCTTAAGATCCCCTTTGCCACTTCCACTCCCTCAAAACAAACCAAGACAGAACCATCCCAATGACAGAATCTATCTGCAGATCCCAGGCCCCCAAGTTTCACAAATCCTTCCAGTTATGCTGCCTGATGCCCATCTGGAAGTACCTTTTCCTGAAGGGGCTGTACCAGGACAGCTCTAGAGTTTCATTCTGAAAGGTGAGAAGATGAGCGGAAGTGGAGTGGTTGGGCCTGCCAGCTGCAGAGGCTCTGATTACAGAACTGAGTGGTTCCTGCCATCCCGGAGCCATCAAAGGAAGTGATTTGTGCAGGTCACCTTTGAAGGTGCTGAGATGGTGGCAGAGGGGAAAGATAGAGAACAGCAGCCTTATTGCTGTTTCTTCCTGCTAGCATAAGGTTTGGGTACTTTATAAAAATAAGGCCTTGAGAATATCCTCATCTTTCTTTTGGGTTCCCTTCTTCAAATTTTTCTTCAAAAACTCAGGTTTTCAGTGTGCTGCTGGTGCCTAAATTCTATTTTCCTTTTTTTTTTTTTTTTTTTTGGTAGCTATATTCTAAACATCAAGTCGAACCCCGAGTTTCAAATTTACACTTCTTCAAAGACTCCGCAAGGGTTTCCTTAAATAACAGCATCCTAGAAAATCTCATTCCTGATGAAGTTCCACTGTAATGCATTCAGTCCCTTAGTGAAAGGCTCTCAACCCACTGAGCCTTATATAGTTTTAAAACTTATTCAGTACATTGGCCAGGCAGATTCTGATGCTTTTAGTTCTGGGATAAAAGGATAAGTATATGTAAAATTGTTGGTGATCTTTATGTTATAAAATCATCTTAGGCTGCTGCTTTTTTAAAAATCCTCACCCAAGGAGTGAGGATATTTTCCCCATTGATTTCTATAGAGAATGGAAGGGAGGGCAGAAGGGGAGAGTCAGAGAGAGAGAAACATCGATGTCTCTCGCATGGATTGGTTGCCTCCTGCATGCTCCCCGCTTGACTGGGAATCGAACCGACCCTCCGGTGTGCAGGCCAATGCTCTGACCACAGTTATGCCAGCCAGGGCATAGCATGCTGCTTTTGATAGGGTAGTAAAGACTCAGAGTGAGAGCCATGCTGTACCCTGATCTAAAAAGTACTTTATCTGCACCCAATCTTTTCAGTTTAAGATTTTAAAGCTTGATATCCTAGAAATCTGTTGGCCACCTGTTGCCACAGACTGATTCAAATCAAATTCAAATGATTTGATTAAAGCTATTAATAGGATTCAAGCTAACAGGAGAGAGTAAGACCTTAATATTACAGGATTATATTGTTGATTTTTAAAAATGTATTGAAATTAGCTCTAAAATCTTTACTTTTTTCCCCCTGAACCTTGGCTCGTTTTTTTTACCTGAGGGCACATATTCACAAATGCTTTTCTTTATACACATAGATTAGTGCCTTATGCATATTTTTTCCCATCTCTAACTGCTGCACCCACCCTCCTGATGTCTACCCCAGTTCGGCAGTGAATACAGCTGTGCCAGAAACCATGCTTTTGTAGACATGACTTTATTTCATCATTCCAGTAGCATTTGGTCGGAAAATACATCCCCATGTTACAGATGAGGAAACTGAAACCAAGAAAATGTGCCCCCCATCACTTCCCTAGTAAGCGGCTTCACTTCAGGACCCCAGGCTTTCTCTTTTACTACTCCACCTTCGCAACAGGGCAGGGGCAGTTGGCACTCCTCTGGGTTGCTCTGACAGCTAAAGGATGTTAATGATACTCATTAAATAACAATAACAAAGGCTTTTATTGTTCTGTCTTATTATAAAATAATGCATATTTATTCAACTATAGATGAGCAAAAAAAGAAAATCACCTAAAATCATTACCACCCAAAATAAGCAATATGAACATTTAGGTACAAATCCAGGATTTTATATAACACCATACACACTTTTCCTTATGTTTGCGAAAATGTGATGCTCTTTGTACTCTTTCACAGCCTGCCTTAAAATATCAAAAATACCTTTGCAGGTCCTTATATATTTGTATACTGCATCATTTTTTTATGATTCCTTTCAACTAAATGGCCGTATTACCACATCCTTAGCCAGTTCCTGTATTAGACATTTGTACTCGTGACCATCTTTGTAGCTAAAATCTAACTATATCTATGATTTCAGTGTGTTTTATGTGTCAGACACAGATTTATTAACTGCCTGCTCATCCTCTAAGTAATCGGGAAAAACTGTCTCTCTCCTTAATGATTACTAATGACTGGTTAGTTAAACTTTTTGTTTATTTATGAGTCCCAATATTCCTTCTTTAATGATTTTTCCTGATTTATGTCATTTGCCCATTTTTTTCAGTTGGGATGTTCATCTTTTATTGATTTTTAAAAGCCCTTTCTGTCAACAACATTAACATTGCTGTATTTGTTAGAGAATTTTCCTCCAATTAGTTTAATTTTGGGGTTTGATTCTGGTATTTTCTGACTGTCACAGATTTTCCTCCCAGTTTGTTGTTTCTTTGTTGGTTTTGTTGCTGATGTTTTTTGACTTATAGAAACTTATACAATGAGGTGTGTTCATATTTATTTTGGTGGTTTCTGCTGTTGGTACAACGTATAAAAAGGTGTTTTTCTCCAAGATTTTATGTTTTCATATATATTTACTTTACTATTATGTTTTTACATTAAATCTTTATTCTATATTAAATTTATTTAAGCATATGGTATAAAGCAGAAGTTCAACCTTTCCCCTCACTAATTTAAAATGCCTATCTTAACAAATTTTGGAATATATTTGACAGTTTCTGACTTTCCATTCGATTTCTTTGACATGCCTATCTTTCATTTCTTCTATTCCTGTTTTAATTATTATGGCTTTATAATATTTTCAGTGTGGAATAGATCATTCTCTTTTCAAAATTATTTAATCTTTTAAATAAAGTTTAGGATCATTTTGTCAAGTTGGTTGGAGAGGCATTGCTTTGCAAATAATTTCCTTAACCTGAACATCTGATCCTCAGTGCTAAATTATAGAAGGTATTTGTGATGTTCTTAATTAAACAATATAACTACTTTCTTCTTGCAGATTTCAGAGACAACTGTCTGAACCCTGCCACCCCTTCCCTCCTCAGTCAGGAGTTCCTGGAGATAATCGCCCCAGTTACCACCGGCAAATGTCAGAACCTATTGTCCCTGCAGCTCCCCCACCCCCTCAGGGATTCAAACAAGAATACCATGACCCACTCTATGAACATGGGGTCCCAGGCATGCCGGGCCCCCCAGCACATGGGTTCCAGTCACCAATGGGAATCAAGCAGGAGCCCCGGGATTACTGCGTTGATTCAGGTTAGTATGAAGTCATGCCACTTCTTTCTTCATTCTCTCATCCATCTTTCTGGGTATTATTGAATGTCTTCCTCCTGTAGGGCTTTGGGGAATAGTTTCATAAAATTAGGAGCTAGTAAAGCAGGCGTGTTTATGCATAACTGAATAAAAAACAGAACACAAAAGCCATGCAAATCGTAGGAAATGCAGGGGGCAGTCAAAAGTGGTGCAGGGAGATTTCAAGATGGTGGCAAGTAGGTGGAAGCTACACTCACCTCCTCTAGGACCAAACCAGAATTACAACTAAATTAAAAGTGGTGCAGAATACACCTCTGAGGCCAACCCTGAAGATTGCTGTGGTCCAATCTTTTTTTTTTTTTCAGAGAGGAAGGGAAAGGGAGAGAGAAAATCATTGATCGGCTGCCTCCTGCATGCTCCACACTAGGGATTGAGCCTGCAACTGGGGCATGTGCCCTGACTGAGAATCTAACAGTGATCGCCTGGTTACTAGGTCGATGCTCAACCACTGAGCCATGCTGGCCAGGCCCGGGGTCCAATCTTGATGATACTCTTTTTAAGACCTATTATCTTAGGGTCACTGGACACAGGGCATATTATTTCTGCATCTTAGTCCTGTCCCTAGTTCTGTGGCTTTCTTTCTTAATACAAGACTCATAAACTTTCAATATAAGAATATGGAAGAGAGCCCACATGTGGGAAGGGATTCTTTCTATTCTTGAAATGAATGGTGTTCCAAGAAAGCACCTAGTGTGTCATTGCTCTGTGGGGTGCTGGGTGCGCCATGGGAAAGGTGTCTTTTTGGTTGCTTCATGGGATTCACTGCTCTATTGCAGTGTTTTCATCTGGAAAAGTTTCTGTGTCCTTCAGTGGCTGCTGGTATACACAGAGAGAGATACATTAGGTCTCCTATTATTTGGTTACTAGAGGCCCAGTGCATGAATTCATGCACAGGTGGGGTCTGGCCAACCTGCCCCAATGGGGACCGATCAGGGCGGGGCGGCAGGGGGGAGGGGCCTAGGGAGGTTGGCCGGCCGGCTCTGCCCCCAGTCAGGATGGTGGGGCCAATCAGGAGCAGGGCCGGCGGGGGGGGGGGGGGGTCTGCAGGAGGTTGCGGGGGTTGATCAGGCCCCCATTGGACCGGTTGACCACGGCAGTGCACATCATAGTGACTGGTCATTCCAGTCATTCCATCATTCCGGTCACTTGGCTTTTATATAGATAGATAGGTTACTCTTGTCTAGAACCTGAAGCATATCAAGAGTTTAAGCTGTACTTGGGGGCCCTGCTGTCCCCCCTCCCCTCCACACACACTCATTCACTGACTACATATCTTAGAGGTCAGGTTTATTCAATGAGATCATCAGGGAAAAGGAGGGTTGTGTTGTCGCTTGCACATTTAGAAACTGTTTCTTCTGCTTCGTTTTTCCTCCTTTCAGAAATGACTTAAGTTTTTCACTCTTTTTTGCAGTTGGTGCTAAAGGAATTTGAGGGTTGGTGGGTAGGTTTTCAGCCTTCCCCAGGCATGCTTTTCTTGAAGACCCTAGGGAAGGCCGGGGCAGTATATACTTGAATGGCTTTTGCAAATGAAATAGGTAATAGAATTTACTCAATGGCCTTTTGTGAGATAATACATAGGTTGCTAAATTCAGGCAGAAATTGGTTATGAAAAAGGTTGAGGAGGTAAGCAGATGGGAGACATCTGTTGCTTTATGATAGAAAAATCACCAAGTATAGATATCAATAACTTGTAAAGTTCCCATTGGCATTCCTCCTGAAGGCTTTGATGTATTATTCTCAGGAGTAGGCATGACCAGAAACATTTTTACTTTGGGATTGACATTTTAATCTGTCCTGACCAGTTTTTTACCCCATCCCACTCCCTTATAGCAAGACACTCAGCAGATGTTACCATATCTGTAATTCTTTGGTCTGAGTGGTGTCCTGGTATGTAGGCAGGCTTGCCCTGCATAGACACAACTCAACTCACTGTCTTGAAAACATGATGCCAGAAGAAGAGATGGCTGTGCAGGGGTTCCATTCTGACAGGTCCAGCATGGTGCAAATGTGCTTGCCAAATCCACTCCTGCCAGTTCTTGTCCTAGCTTCATAGCTTCAGATCCCCTAATCTCTTTGGCCTAAAAATACCTTCACCTCTTACAGCAGAACTGGATGTGACCATCAGCTATAAAGAGTAAATTGGGAAGATCTTAGTGACCCTCCTCCCCGTCCAAAACCCCAAAGCCGCAGAGTTGTTATAGGCAGAAGGCCAACCTTGGCCTTTTAAAAGCCAGTTTCTTCTACCGTGAACTCTCCCATCAAGTTTGGTGTTAAACTAATTTCTAAATGAGCAAGTTGTGAGAATGAGACATTTTTTTCTCTCAGTTCTTGATTTAGGAGTCAAGAGTCCTCTTTTCAGATGGTGGGTTATATGGTGTTTTCCATGTTGGTTATTAGGGTGGTACCTCTTTCCCAGGACAAAACCAAAATGACATGACCTTGGAGCAGGAGAAGGTTAGGGCTTCACTGCAGAGCTGCAGTTTGATTGTTGTGATGACTCACCACAGAAATGATTGACGAGAGTGTGCCTGTCTGTGTTTCTCTTTCAGAAGTGCCTAACTGCCAGTCAACCTACATGAGAGGGGGCTATTTCTCCAACAGCCATGAAGGTAAGTAACTTTAAAAAAGAAAAGTATTCAAGGAAGCTTAAAATTGCTCAGTTTCCAGGCTAAGATTTGAGATCATAGTTTAAACTTTAAACCATCCTTAGCTCATGAATATGAGAGCTAGTTGATCATATTCTTCTGTTATTTTGCACACACAGTCTGAGGCATGCTCCTGAGCACTGTGAGGGCTGCCAGCATTTTCAATAGCAATGACCCTAACTTTAGGAGTTCAGGGGAGAATGTGAAGAAAAGGTGGACCAATCAGTTTTCCACATTTCCATACAAGGAGATTACACAGCTGTATATAACACATTCGGCCTAAACTGGAACTTAGGGATTATGTCATGACTTGAGATGGTAGGTTCAGGACTTCTCTTCTGAACACTGAAACACGGAAGAGCTTTTTCCTTAGAACAGCTTCCCCAGAAGTATGTTTTATTTTCTGTTAATCACTCCATAAATATCTAGAGCAGTGATTCGTCAAGCCCAGGGCATAATCTTCACCTGGAACTTGTTAGAAATGCAAATTCTCAGTACCCACCCAGACCTGGGGAATAAGAAACTCCCAGCAATCCATGTTTTAACAAGGCAGGTGATCGGATGCACATTCAAGTCTGAGAACTACTACAGTGGGGCCTTGACTTACGAGTTTAGTTCGTTCCAAGACCGAGCTCGTTAACTCAAATTACTCTATCAACTCAATGCAAAAAATCCCCCGAGAGACAGCTGGTATCTCAAAAAACTCGTTAGTTGGGACACTCGTAAGTCAAGGCCCCACTGTATAGAGCAGGGAGTCTGAGCTTTGGCTCCACATTAGAATCACCTGAGGAGCTTTTAAAACAGTTGATATCCAGGCTTCATCCAGACCATTAAGCAGAAATTCTGGGGTGGAACCCAGGGGTTAGTAGCCACTAAAACTCCCCAGGTGATTCTAATGTGCATCCAAAACTGACAACCACTGTTCTCTAGAGCAGTGGCTCTCAACATTGACTGCACATTAGAATCACCTGGGAATCTTTTTAAGATCCTGATTTCTGGGCCTCATCCTCCGGAAATTCTGTTTCTTTGTTACGGGGTGAGGCCACAACATTAGTAACAAAGAAACAGAATTTCCAGAGGATGAGGCCCAGAAATCAGGATTTTAAAAAGATTCCCAGGTGATTCTAATGTGCAGCTAAGGTTGAGAACCACTGCTCTAGAGTTTTAGAGGAAGGTTGAAAGAATTAGTAAAACAGCACTATGAAACATTGGCTGGTTTTTGTAAGTGAGTGGTTCACAAGAGTGGTTTCAATGAAAAATTATTTCCCACTGGCTTGGTTGGAGGGGAGACCAGGTGTTGTTGCAAGGGGCACTGAGATAATCAGAGTGAGTGTCCAGCCCTGGGAAGGAAGGGCTTCTATTGGACCTCTGACTGTGATCGGCACAGCTGTGTGGGGCTCTCTTCCAGGTTCCCAAATGTTTCTACAGAATCAATTGATGTCTGCAGCAGGCAAAATAAGAGGGAGTTGGGGGGAAGAGGGAGGAAAACATTTTGCATAATTACCACATTTAGAAAGGAGCATGCTCTTAAAGGAACTATTTTTAGTAAGGCATTGGGCCGCTTACTACACACAAAATACCTGGTGAGTTTGTGTTCGTTGCCCCGCTCTTTCCCATTCCTTTCCCTGCCCCCACACAGTGAAGAAGTTCGTTGCAAAGAGACCTGCATTTTTAATTGCTCTAAATTATTCTGACATGGTTTTTCCCTCCGTATACAGGCTTGACCACAGATGCCTGTGAAACAGTTAGTGGAACAAGTGTTTCTGATTGGTATCTGTGATTACTAAGATAGCCATCTTGCCTTAGCGTTCACCTGGAATCTTTGCATACTGTTTTGAATCTCTCATTTCTACTTTGCTCCTCAAACAGGTCCTTCCTGCCACCTTTATTTGAGTGATTAGATAGTTGTAGCCACAACTGATGTAATTGCTGGCGCAAATTCAACTGACTTATATTTCACTTAAACCAACAGCATCTTCCAGATGTTTTAGAGAATCACATGTGGTGATAACTAGAAACCACAAAATACATCAAAACGATACTCATGGGCAGGCCTTCATCTGATTAGTTTGAAAACCAAACCTAGAAGGTAATCTAGCTTTACATTTTCTCCCGGTATATTATAACTGCATTATCTTTACGTTAGAAGAAGAAAAGCTCTAAAAATAACACAGCAAGTATAACAGGTGTGTGAACTTTGAAGTAGTATATTTATAATGACTATCATAAGACCATTCAAACACCACTGGAGTTACCAAAATCCATATGGAAAATCAGGAATATATAGTTTTCTGGCAAACAAGGCAAAAAGCATGATGTAACTCCTGTTGATAGTATAAAGTATTACAGTTTGTCATAAAAGTCAGTTTTCTAATCAAATTGGAAAATAAATGTATCATAGGAGTCACTGAATTCCTGATTTAAAAGTTAGCATTGTATTCCTAAGTCTTTTTTAATGGAGACTGTAGATTCTCTCATTTATTCAAATACTTAATTGAGCACTTATTATGTATCAGGTGCTATGAAGATATGAAGAAATTCAGAACATGGTCCTTATCCTCAAGGAATTTAGAATCTATGAGAGAGAATAGAAGATAAAGCTCTCACATTATTCAATTAATTTCTTAATAGTACTTATCACAATGTACAATTAACTATCTTAACTTTTTTCAATTATCATTTATTGCACACTTATCAACCAGGAGCTATTCTTGGCACGCCAGTATAAAGATAACTAGATCCATGGAACAGAATATATATTAACTTGTTAAATTCTCACAACCCTATAAGGTAGGAATTATTATCTTCCCTAGTCTTCATATGAGGAAACTGGAGCACAGAGAAATTAATTAACTTGTTCAAGGTCACACAGCTAATCTAGGTCCATCAGTCTGGCTCTAGGGCCTACACTCTTTAAATGTTCCATACCACACTATGTCTTATTTATTTTTTTTTCTTACTTAATTGTCGGTGTGCATCAATTGGGATGCGAGCTCCATGAGCACAAGCACCAAGTCCATAGTCTTCTCATGTCTACCTCCTTCCAGCGCAGTGCCTGGCAAAAATATTTATTGAATTAAATAATAAATAAATGACAATAAAATTATACATCCTTTGAGGTAATTAAGCAAACAGAGAAATAGTGCTTAGAGCTGAGGAAACAAAAAATCATTCAAACCTCAAAAAAATCTCAGTTTCCTTTAAATTGGACAGTGTTTTCCCAATTCCAGGCCTCTTAAAAATGGTGCTGGTCCTGCCAAGAACTTGGTCTGGACTGATCATGAAGAAAGAACAGCAGATTGTTCCTTGGCACCTTTACCTGTGGATTTTTCAAGTTATAGCAAATCCCTCTCAAAATCTAAGATAGCCCTTCACTGCAGAGTGCCTCCCCTTGCCTGTCCCCACTGCAGACCTGGCATGCATACACCTATACTACACAGCCAGGTTTGTGGACCAGAGAACTGAGCACAGGGAGCATCGTTTACCAGACGGGAGCCCCTGGTGCTTTCTCCTGAGAAGTGTGCTGGTGGAGGAGAGTATACTAGAGTGCTCACACCTGGAAGCAGGCCAGACTATGGGGAGAGATGTGGTCCCCATCAAGCCTGTCTATTAAGTGGCTTTGATTTGAACTGCTGATCTTGTCAGGATGCCTGGTGACCTGGTGGTCAGCATGGAATGCATATTAAGGGTTTTTGTGGATTGAATACAGGACATTCTTTCCTTCTTCTTGACCCCTTTAACTTTCTGCCCTGGCTTCCTTTCATTTCCACGTACATGTGTTATTGGACCAGTCAGTTCCCCTTTCTTGATCTCTGTTTTGTTATCTGCAAAATAAGTTTTATTGCTAGAACATCTCTTCAGATTCCTTCCATGTGCCTGGTTATTACTGCAACATGCTTTTTAAGTTATTACTCTGCGAAATCCTCCACAGGCCCAAGTCTTTACTCAATTGGCGAGCCTCTCTCCCCTCCAAACTCTTTCGTAATTGAATGAGGTATGTAGGCAGCCTCAACAGAAAAAGGTTGAACATGGCGAGACTATGCACAGATCAATCAAATCCATGTGGCTAGGCCGACTGAAATAGATGAGATGTCTTTTCAGATATAAAGCCTTAGTCACAGCAACACTGATCCATGCAGACATCAGAAGCAAGATGTGAAGGAACTTCTGGTGACTCGGTGCTTCCCTGCAGTCTTAGCTCTCAGAGCAGGGCCGCTCTGAAGCTCTGGTGAATACATCAGAACGCGAAGGCCTGAGTCCTTTTGAAATCCCCCAAAATTCAGTCTGGCATCGATATTTCCGTTAATGGGGCTTAGGGCCCAAAAGGATAGAATCCCATTTTAGTTCTTAGATCCAGAATTTTAATAGAACACACAGAGAATTTGTTAAGCAGCATGGTCTTTCTTTTTAACTTCTCCTTCAGGCTTTTCATATGAAAAAGATCCCCGGTTGTACTTCGATGACACTTGTGTTGTTCCTGAGAGACTGGAAGGTGAGTAGCCCTATCCAGTTTGTTGCTAAGCCGGAGGCTCAGGGATGTCAGAGCACCTCCCTCAGTCTTATTAATAGCAGATTAGCATTAACTCTTTTTTGCCCAAACCACTTGAAATACTTAAGATTAAAGTATTGCATGTGTACCTTTGTCCCAAACAGGCAAAGTCAAACAAGAGCCCACCATGTATCGTGAGGGGCCCCCTTACCAGAGGCGAGGCTCCCTTCAGCTGTGGCAGTTCCTGGTTACCCTTCTGGATGACCCAGCCAATGCCCACTTCATTGCCTGGACAGGCCGAGGCATGGAGTTCAAGCTGATAGAACCTGAGGAGGTGAGCATTGGATGCTGGACTCGAATGATTTTTTATGTGTAGATGGTGCTGATGTTCGCTCTTGTTTAGTTCTCCATTGAGGCTTTTACAGTGTTAAATATGCTCTTCTCATTCAGATCTGGCCTGGTCAGTGGCCTTGGCGGTGCCCTTCCTATTATCCAGAGGTCAGTTTACAATTCACAGACAGGCAGATTCTCCACTGTAAAATACATTAAAACGCATTAGTATCACTTCTACAAAGTCTGGGGAGTTGGCCATAAAGATCTAAATGGGGCCTGTTTTCGCCTTGGAAAGTTGTTTACAAGTGTTGTTTCAGTGATAAACTTGTTTTGGTGTCGGCCCTTATGTGTCATAGCCTATATGTGGAGATACAGAATATTTGTGTGATGCTTTGGTAATATATTACAGGATGCAGCTACCCTAGTACATATTTCAAATAGCTCTAACCTAAAGAAATGAAATTATCAGAGATAATTTAGATTTTTTAAACTATATTATGTGACATCACGATAGTTGAAAGATGACAAAACCTTCGTTATTTTGTTAATAGAAAAAGAAACATGGTTAACATTATTACTGTCTGTTGCTCAGAACTATTGACAAAAAGGCCTACGGACAGAACCAGTACCATTTCTTCAATGGGGAAGACATATTACAGAACCCCTTACCTGAATATCACATAACAAAGTAAATTAAATTAGACTCTCAGTTTGGCATATTCCAAAGGGATTGATTTTTAATTTCCATTTGACTTAGATTCTAGAGAGATTATAAATGAGAAGAAGTAACAGCCCTGAAAATCTTGCATGTGCTTTGTAGAGTAGCCTGTACTTAGGTGTGTTATATATTAAATCAGCAGAGCATAAGTCTCTTTGGGTATGTGTAATTGAAATGAGAACAATGTTCTTAGAAAACATTCGAGCAAGAACTGCAGTTTTAAATGTTGTTCCATTAATTCCAGGGCTCAGGTTAGCACACTAAGGGGTTAAGTTGGTATGAGGGCTAACAGCAGAAGGTAACAACCTGGCACTTGATTTGGAAGAAGACAATGGTCCAGAAGTTAAGAGGAGAATGTGTGGATTGGAGGCAGTTATAAAAGGAGATGCACGTATGGTGTTCCTTACCTTGTATCACTCACGAAAATGGAAATGTGTCAACATTCCATGTTATAAATGGTTTCTGTCAGGACTCAATCTACCTTCAAAGCCAGAGTCCAGTACTGTGGTGTTTCTAAGCGTTTCTTTATGGCTAAGTCATGTGGAAATGGAGCCATGTTTTCGGCCTCCAGCCATACTGGGGAGCCATCGGCCCGCATTCTGTTCCTCATAAAGCAGCCTGGTTTATGTGAGGCTTGAGGAAAGCATGTCGCCTAGACTCTCCGAGGCTTTGTGACAGTAAATCTGTCCTGCGGCAGCCCTTATTGATTTATCCTGTTGCACAAACAGGAGCTTTTATTACTTTATTGCCACTGCCTCGGGCCTAAGCACAGGCTGTACAGCTGCAGGTGAACCTGGTTATGACCCTTTGTAAAGCTGTTATTGAATCTTCTCCTCTCCTACCAGTGGTAAAGAAAATGATGAACAGATGGCAAAGGGCCTCTGCTTTCTCAATAAAGAAACTAATATTAATCCAGAATGCTCATAAATGCCAAGCGGCCAAGTCACATGAGGCCCGTAGTGGCCTTGAGCCCCCCCTCGGCTGATTGGACAGCTTCGTTTCTTCAGGAAGTGCTCCTTCCCACCCCACCTTGCCATCCCAGGCATTCCATGAACCCTGAATGTTCCAGGCTCTTCACCCAGGACGGCTCTGTTCCATCTCTGCACTTTACCTCGGGACAGGCAGCATTTGTGGTGTGTTTTTCCCACTGTACTCCTTGCGGGCCCTTCTCTTGTTAATGTCAGGAAGATACCAACTCCTCAGAAAAGCTGTAAGAAGTCGTCATGAGGGGAGCTGGGAGGGTAAAGTGGAGGAGGAAGCTGTTTGGGACGTAATTGTAGGCAGCTGTGTGGCTGAGTAGTGCACTCTGGGTAATTATCCATAATATCCATTACACTGTGCATGGAAATTGTGGTTTTAGAACTGCGTTTTGGCAGGCCCCCTAATCAAATGTCTTTTGATAGTCGTCCAGCTTAGCACCCTCTCAATTATGACTGACTCGGCTTTAATCTGGAGCCATTTTAACTGTGAATCTGCATTAATGAATATTTTGGGGGTAGGGTTGTTTGTTGAACATGTGGCAGATAACTGATGCCATGGGAGGTGTAAAAGGATGGGCTGCAGAAAGAACCGCTCCCCGTGCTATGGCTGCTCTCTCTTGAAATGGAAGGAAAAGATATGTGGATTTTTTTTTTTTAACTCCTTCAGCCTCTATCCTCAAGATGCCTGCTATCAAAGGAATGGTTGGGAAAGATGAAAGGCAGAAAGAGCTGGTAACAAACCATTCCCTGCTCCCCTCACCCCAGAAATGAGGCAGCCCTAATTCCCAGCTGCTCTGCAGTTGTGCCACATTATGCATTACTGCAGAAGGAGCAGCCCTGGTGAAGGCTACTGAATCATAGGGCCCTGGCCCAGGAGGATGAGTCAGTAACTATGGCTACCACAGATGCTTTGAAGTCTGTGCATATACAAAACCTCTCTCCAGTAAGCTATTGCATAAGCAAGTGACTGCAAAGAGAGGTTGTGGCAGAAGCGGAGGAATATTCAAGAATGTTTTCCACCACTAAATATACTAAAGTGATGAGGCTGGGCTTCTTTTAAGGGTCCCTGCGTCACTTGTGGCTGACAGTAGGTTAAGTATGGTTTCATAGTCTCATTTCTATTGAGCCAGGGTGGAAGAACATATATTAGGGTAGCAGGTTTCCCTTTACACTACTATTTCCAGATGTAATTTTTGGTTAATTTTGCCCTTTTGGCTATTTCAGAGATAGAGCTGAATGGATGCATTATGGAGAAAAGAGGAGAGCCAGGACATCGTGTGTGCATAGGGGCAGGAAGTAAACAAATGGAAATTTAACTTTCACAGTTTCTTGCAAGGCAGAGTGGAATCATGGCTATTAAATTATTCTAATGTAATTAGGACAGATGCATTCCTCCTTACTTATCAGATCATTTCTGGTATTTATTAAAGGTCATTTTAGAATCCTGAATTCAGATGTTGTTTTCATCCTGCCCAAATACTTTCAGCAGAATGCTGTTTTATGATTTACGTTTCCACTTGCAATCTCCCTACTTCCCGTTCCATATTTAACATTTGGTGTTTTAATATAGTTATTTTGCTTTTTTTAAGAAGTTTCCAAAACTGACCTAACATGTTCAAAACCTGACCCCTGGTTTGCATATATTTAAAGACCTCTGAGAAGACTCACATTTCTAGGGTTGTTCTTTTCCTGTCTTGATAGTCATCTTTATAGGCAGGATTTGGGCTCTTGAGAACAGAACTTGCTTGGCTATCCTGAGAATTGGGTAAACTCTACTAGGAAGTTTTTTGGCTGTAAGACTTTTTTTGCCCAGAGCTCCAATTACTTCTCCCCATCACTGCACCTCAGGTGGACTGGGTGGGATAATGCACTTCAGAACTGTTGGGGAAAACCTGTTAATTTTTCATTAAGTGGATAATGGTGCTACATGTTTTAATGTCCATTCTGCAAGTCCTCTGGGAGCAGGGGATTGGATGGCAGCAGGCTGAAATGATCTGGTTCCCCCTTATTCCATGAGCTGCAATAAGTAAACATCTCCCAGCCCCTCTCCAATCTTATTAGAATTGAACTTTTGCTCTGCTGGCCCATTAGCAACTCACTAGTGTGTTTCTAATGTTTCAGGAATGACCATTCTAATTATTCCTTATTGACTGCTACAGAAACTATAGCACTTAATGGCAGCATGTTAATGGTCTACGGGTATTGGTCAATAATTCATATGTGGAGAAACAGTAGAGGGCCTGCTTCCTCTGGGACATTATCCAAGCCCTCTGTAATCTACAGTGCTAGCATTCTTCCACCTCTAGGTCTCACCTCTTAGCCGTTGTGACCGAATCATCACCTTTGTGGAATGTTTAGTCTTGAGGGAATGAGATGCTTTTCCTTTCAGGTCAGGGAAATGGAGCATTGACCAGAACAGTCAGAGTACAGAACTGGCTCTCCTGGGTCAGCAGAAAACCACTAGACCCAGGGAATGAGTTTCCATTGCTTTCCTGTCTCTTCAGGTTGCTCGGCGTTGGGGTATCCAGAAGAACCGGCCAGCCATGAACTACGACAAGCTCAGCCGTTCTCTACGCTATTACTATGAGAAGGGCATCATGCAGAAGGTGAGACGTTATGAGAGACACGAACTGCTCTGACCACATTCAAAGAGAATGTCAAGGGCTTCTGCAATTAGGCTGTTTATAATGGCTGGCTGGAGAAAATTAGAAAATAAATGGTCTTCTCAAGTTCTTCCTGGAGAAAATGTCAGCCTCGTCAGTGATTCTGTGGTAGGAGAAAGCCTTGGAAAAGCAAACTTAAGACAAGAGTCAAATGAGATATAAAGAGTACCTTTATTGCTCTTGGGTGTACATGAAAACCAGAGGTTGTGTGTGGAACAAATCATGGGAAAATTAGGCTCCTCTGCTTTACTTAAACTGCCTCTAATTACGAAAATGTCCAGACACTTAGGCCAATTATTGTGTCCATAAAGGAGCATGTGTGGGAATTGACTTGAATCTCACAAGAGTTTCGTTGAAGTCTTTAGTTGTTAAAAGCATTCTAGACCTTCAAATATGTTGGTTTAATGCTCTCAAAAATGTTAGAGAAGTAACCAACTCTTGAGGTGGGGAACCAGAGATTTAATGTAAAACTGTGGCTTAGAAAAACTAAATAGGAATGGTTAAATGTATGTCTGTATTACCAGCGAAGCTGATTTTCGGGTTTGATTTTTGGAGGTATGGGATGCTAAACAACCAGCAGAGAATGGTTCCCAGTGACCTAGATTGCTCGTCAGCTACATCATGAGGCCTTTGGATAATCAAGGCTTTTTGGTGCTAAATAGTGTTATGATGCGTAAATCCATATAAAGTAGTTATCAGTTCCTCAGTGTAACAGAACCATGGAATGAGCAATTTAAAACTGCAGGTAAGCCAAGAAGCAATTCTTTTTGGCTTTGGAACAAACTTAAAATTTCCACATAGGCTGTCTGATCAAATTCCTAGCCCTTCAAAATAACAAAGCTTATTGTGGAGATTGAACTTTAGAAGTGACTGAAATCATGACCTGGCTTCGGCTTTGTACCTTTCAGTGCCGAAGCCATTGTACTTCCTCGTAACACCAAGCGCCAACCTCAGATACTCATTCTTTCTAAGTTGTGACTATAAGACAGTGAGCCCATCTAGTGTGAATATGAAATTCAGATATCTCAACTGCTGAGCTGTGGTGTCAACACAACACTTGGCAGGTAGCAGGTCCCCAAGATTTATCAAAATAAATCTGCATGATTTGGATAATCAGTTACTAATGAGCCTCCTTTGGTCCCTGGCTTCCTGAGAGCTTGGTGACTTAAAAATATATCATTATTCTTCCCTTGGTCCCCACCATGCCCTGTTCCAGCTGGGCCTTATTAGGTGCGTTTTCTCTCTCAGGTGGCCGGGGAGCGATACGTCTACAAGTTTGTCTGTGACCCGGATGCCCTTTTCTCCATGGCCTTCCCTGACAACCAGCGCCCGTTCCTGAAAGCAGAGTCCGAGTGCCACCTCAGCGAGGAGGACACCCTGCCGCTGACCCACTTTGAAGACAACCCTGCTTACCTCCTGGACATGGATCGCTGCAGCAGCCTCCCCTATGCTGAAGGCTTCGCTTACTAAGTTTCTGAATGGCTGAGCGGCCAAACCCTAGAGCTAGCAGTTCCCATTCAGGCAAATGAGGGCAGTGGTTTTGTTTGTGTTTTTGGCTGTTCCTAAAACTTGCCCTTTGAGTATTATCTGGAGAACCCAAGCGGTCTCTGGATTGGCACCCTTAAAGACAGGCACCTTGGCTGGGGAGTGGGAACAGGGAGGGGCAGAGAAACCTCCAAAAGGCTGGTGCCTCAGCTCTGATCCTGACAGGGTTTCTGGGAAGAGATTGCAATGGAGCCTCCTTCCCATGGACAATATATGCAAAGCAATACCTTGTTCAGGTTAGTACCCACAAACTGGGGGAGAGTGTGACAATCTGCATTGATCACGAACTACTAAATGCCTTTACATAGAAGGGCTCTGATTTGCACAATTTATTGAAAATGAAACCACAAACCCAAAGGATAGTAGGTAGGCTAAGTTGGGGAGGCTCAAACCACGAAGGGTTAAAAATATATCATAAAATTCAGAGAGCTCATCTAGCTCAATCTGTAATGTTTCCCCTTGGTTTAGAAAAAAGGGGGAAAGTCAGAACAGCTGTTACCCACTCCATGGTTCTCAAATAATTAGCATTGCTACTCCTGGGAACCTTCGGGCCATGTGGTCACCAAGTAGAACAAGCCCCCTTTTCTCTTCCCAGTCACATGGCTCTGTGCGGATGGCTTTAATTTTAGGAGAAGGGTGATTAACACTTTGACAGTATTTTGTTTTGCTTTGATTTGGGGGATTGTTTTGTTTTGGTGGTTGTTTTGGAAAAACAGTTTATAAACTGATTTTTGTAGTTTTGGTATTTAAAGCAAAAAAAACAAAAACAAAAAAAAAAAACCACCAAACCTTTTGGTAACTGCACTGCATCCCTTAGATGGGGCAGTGCCGACTTATGAAGACGCTGCAGCTTGAAAGGGGCTTTGTGGGGGCTTCCCCTCAGCCGTGTACAAGCCCACTTTACTGCCCACTTTGTGCTTTCTGCACCAGACAGCCTGACGGAACACTTGCACCTGAGTTGTACATTTTCGAGGTGTGCAGGGCAGCCTGAACACACCGCTTAGATTCTATGTGTATAGTTCCCCACGGTCTCTAACACCCTCTCTGGAAAGCAAATGTACATAATACATGTCATGTCCATTTGGAACCTGGTCACCTGGTGGGAACCCAGGGGACGCGTCCCTGGGTATGACTGATGACAACTTCCGTTTCATCAGTTTGTTTTGTTTTTCCTTTTTCTTTCATTCTTGGACTTTAAACCCTGCATATGATTCCATAGGGTTTGAGACTTACATGTGACACTGACAGGTAAACAGTGCTAGCATTTTAGTTTCCTGCCACCTTAAAAAAAATAAATAAGAAGCTTATCTGGTTGCTGTATTATACTGAAGTTTTAAACAACCCAGCTAAAGCTATGTGGAAGCTGAGCTCAATGTAGAGGAAAAGTTCATTAGAAAAGAGGTGGTAGCACCTCGCTGCTGCCGGCCTGCTCTGTTGACTCTGCTCCCGTGACACTTAGCGCTGAGAACAGCTGTGCTGCTCCACACTCGGAGGACAGCGTGGGCTCCGCGAGGGTGACACCTGCCGTGAATTGTTTTCCTATGGATGGAGCGCTCCACAGTCACATGGTCCCCCCTGTGACCGGCAGCACATTTGTGAAGAGGGTCATGGGGGAAGGGGTGTGTTTTATAGCTATGGAAACACAAGGTTTTCCTCTGTTGGAAGCGACTTAAGCCCACAAAGGTGTTGAACCTATAGCTTGGGCCTTCATTAGCATTGTACTCTAATCAAAGGACTCTTTTTCAAACCATATTTATAGCTTTCTAACCTACACATAGTCTATATACATAGATGCATATTTTATCCCCAGCTGGCTAGAGATTTATTTGTTGTAAATGCTGTATAGGATTTGTTTTTTCCTTCCTTTGCTTATCCTGGTTTGGGTTTTCTGGGTTGGTTTGGTTTTTTTAATGGGTTTATGCTATCTTAGCAAGAATGAAAATAATCGTGTAGCCTGAGCTCCCCCTCCCTGCTGTGACCGCGTGGCCTGTGCTGTCAGGGGCGTAGGATGGAGGCATCACCGTTGCATTCCCATCGGACTCATGCACCTCCCGGAGGGTTTTATTTTTGTTTGTTTGTTTGTTTTGGTTTGCTTCTTTTCCAGAGTGTGGAAAGTCTACAGTGCAGAAAGGCTTTAACCTGCCAGTTGATTTGAAATACTTCCCCCTGCGCAGGGCCGTATGCATCCTGCCAAGCTGCGTTATATTCTGTACTGTGTACAATAAAGAAGTTTGCTTTCAGTTTACCAAGTGTCTGAAACCCGCCTCTTTCTTGCCCTCTGTGCCTGATTTTAAAGCAAGCAGAAGCCACCTGGCTATGTCTCTTTCTCTCTCCCTCTCTCATTGTCTCTCAACTGTTGAGCATTACCCAGGATTGTGGAGGTGAGAGTAGTGTAGGGAACTGTTACCTAGAAATAGAGAATGCAGCTGCTCTTTGGCCTCACCTCTTAAACTCTGGCTGAAAATGTGATCCAGAGGAGAGGAGGAAGAGGTCCTTTTCCCAGCCAGTGGTGAGCTGAGGTCACCCCATCCCCTTGAGCCCACCTACTCACCAACACTTTAGTATTTTTTTTAAGATATTTTTATTGATTTCATAGAGGAAGGTAGAGGGAGAGAGAGATAGAAACATCAATAATGAGAGAAAATCATTGATTGCCTGCCTCCTGCACGCCCCACACTGGGGATCGAGCCCACAACCCAGGCTTGTGCCCTTACTGGGAATCGAACCATGATTTGGTTAACCACTGAGCCATGCCAGTCGGGCAACACTTAATATTTTTTAAAACATAGCTCGTGTCTGGGCTCTGAGTTGTGTAAAAAGATTACTAACTAGCCAGGACTTAGAGTTCCAGAATGACTCTAGCTCAGCCTCTTACACAGATACTTTTGAAAACCAGTAAAAACTCGAGAAGATCATTTATTTCCTAATTTTCCTGAAATAAGTTTTGATCTTAAAAGTAAAAGTTTTACTAATAGTTGGTCCCTCGAGAACAACAACAGCAAAAACTTAGGGAAGTCTTTCCTGCTTTGTTTTTTCTGACCCTGCAGCAGTGCAAAAATCATCCAAATTTGTCTTTTTCTCATGGGTTCGCTTGGGAAAAGTCTGGGACAAAATAAAGTTTGCAGGGTTGTGTGCAGTATTATGCCTGTTAGTGTTCCCATTTCAGCCTTTTTCTGCAGCTTACCTTGGGCTTTTCAGGACTCCTATTACAGTAGAGGAATAAGTAGAGCCTTTTTTCAAGCCTATAACAGAAGGCTTTCTGTAAGTTTATCTACTTTCTCTCTTAAGGGCATTTTACAAGCCCTTAAGTGTAAAACCATCTGAGACCGAATGGGTGCACAGCCGCTTGAATGGGAGCTTGTGAGGAATGAATGTCTGCCACATAAACCCATTAGCTCGGACAGATTAAGATGCTTGGGGAGAAGGCAGGAGCCCAGGACAAAGCAGCTCTGCCTCAGCTTCACCATGATAAGGCTTTGACAATCAGCGTCCCATTATTCATGGGCTCATTATCCAGCCCGGGCCCAGACCCAGGTCGTTAACCTAACTCGGGAGGTCACCAAACACTGGGCCGCCCTTTTCATGCTGGGCGCTAGGATAAGGAAGCCCAGAAAATGTGAAGTTTACTCTTCATCGAGGTCCCTTTTCACCAGCCAAGCCAAGGAAACAATGCTTATTCAGTTGTTCAATGACAAAGAGGTAGTGTGAGGGCAAAAGAATGTGCTTTTGAAAGCCAGAGTATGTGTAGAATCTAAATTCGAATGCAGCTGGGACAAATGTAAACGAATGTGGGAGAAAAACACTCACGTTTCCAGTTGGTCGGAAACCTTGGACAGACAGTTTGTTGCCCAGTGGTACAGGTGGCTGGAGCTCAGTGTGTGGCCTCTCAAACACAAGCAAAAGGGGAGTGGGAGTAGAGAGAAAAATCATCAGTTCTAACATATGAGAGCATTAATTTTATTCAGCATATAGGTTGTACTTAAAATAGAGGGTGGGGATGAGAGTACCACACAGATAAGCCCCGGAGTCCTTTTGATCTCGGCAAATAACGCTTGTGTCCCATTCAGGAGGGACCCCTTGCATGGCCAGCCTTCCGTTAGCTCCTCCAATTTAAGAGCTGGCTCTACACCCGCCTGGGTTTGTTGACCTTGGCAGTGAACCTCAGAGAGCTAACCTTTGGATAGCACTTTACAGTTTACAGAGCACTTTTTCATTCCCATTATCTTTTTGGCAGACTTTCTTAAATGGTAACACTTTGTTGAAATTGAAAATACGGCTGTTAGCCTCCAAAATTACTTTCTTGGAGTGTTCACCGTGGCTACACTGGAAAGAGGACTAGACAGGGATTCTGGCCCCAGCTCTGAGGTTGACTGGATTAACTAGATGATTGCTGGGCCATCCTGGCCTAAGCTTCTGAATTGAAAATAGATTGTAGGGGAGCAAGACCAAGTAGTAGGCTATTATAGTAATCCAGGTGAAGTGAGACAGTGGCTTTATCCAGGGCATAAGGAGGTCATAATTTGAATATATTGTTATGGTAGAGCCAATAGGTTTGGATGTGTAGAGACAAGGAAGTCAGTTGTGGCTCCAAGGTTTTTGGCCTGAGCACAAGTGCTGACGTTTCCATTTACTGAGAAGAATAAGACTGAGGAGAAAAAATTGGAGGTGGGAGTGGGGAAAGAACAGGCATCCTGTTTGGAACATATTGACTTTGAGGTGCCTCTTGTAAATCCAAATGGGAATGGCGATTTGGATATACAAGCCTAGGGGAGACATCCAGGCCGGAAATAGAAATTAAGAGTCATCAATGTGTAAAGAGTATTTAAAGCTGAGACTAGATGAGATCATTAGGGAATAAGAATAGATTGAAAAAAAAAGTTTCCAGGACTGAGCCCTGAGGCACTACAAGATTAAGGATAGGAGAGATGAAGAACCATCAGAGGAGACTGAAAAATAATGGCTAATGAAATAGGAATAACCAGGAGGCTATTTCCAGAAGAATGGAGACACCAACTATGACAGATGCTTCTGATGTGTACAGTAGGGTGAGGACTGGGACTAAATTAGTAACATGGAGGTCATGGATTACTTGCACAAGCCATTTCCATAAAGGGAGAGAGATAATAGACAAAACTGATCCATACTACTAGGATCCAAAGGAGGTTTGAGTTTACCCTCAGTCTGGGACAGGGATCAGAGAAGGCTCATAGTTCCAAAGTCCTGGGTTTGAATTCAGCCCAGCCGCTTACTAGCCCTTTCATTTTCATTCTCTTAAAATCTGAAAGAGGCCCTGGAATCCCTGCCAGGTATCCTGCCCCGAGAGTGGTTTTTTGTTTGTTTGTTTGTTTGTTTGTTTGAGGATAAATGAGCAATTAAGATGCTATTATCACCCTTTCCCATCTCCATGGGACTCTACTCTTGTTTTATGCTCAAATTGGTTTTTTTTGGAAATGTTGTGTTTTTAAATAACTTTCTTTTTCATGTTACACAATTGGCATATGTTTTTTATAGAAAACCAGAAAAAAAACACAGCCAAGTTTAAAACTATTCTAAAAATTCAACTAGAAATCACAGTTAACACTTTACTGCACATATTTCCAGATGGCTTTTTTTATATTGTTATTTAAATTTTAAAATGTGGTCATATTTATATCATACATAATTTTGTAAATTACTTTTTAAATAATATATTTGAACATCTTTCCATACTAAGAAATATTCTCCTACAATACCTAGCTGCATGCTATTCCGAAGTACATATATAATATATTTAAGCAGTCCCCTTTACTAAAGATTTAAGGAACCACAAATATATATTCAAAACCAAGCCAAGTGATCTCCATCCAAAATCAAACAAACAAAAAAAATAATAATTTGAGCACCAAATGTTGGCAAAGATATGACTCTGGGGGAGTATAAAATGCAACAACCACTTTGGAAAACTGTTTGGCAGTTTCTTATTAAGGTAAACATACATCTATCCTATGATCCAACAATTTCAATCTGAAATATTTACCCAAGACAGTTATAAACATGTGTTCACAAAAAGACCTCTGCAAGAATATGTTTAGAAGCTTTATTCACAATAGCCACCAAAAACAACCCAAATGTCCATCAACAGGAGATCAGATAGACAAGTTGTGGTGTCCACATAGGAGAATACTGTACTACTCAGCAACAAGGAAGGAACAACTATGGTGATAGAATCAGAAAGCGGTAGCAGGGGATCGGTGGGCAGGAACTATTTGGAAAGGGGTGGAGGGAGGTTCTGCAGCAATAGAAATATTCTACATCTTGGCTTGGGTGATTGGTACATGTATGTTTGGCAACACTTGGAAAACTGAACACCTGAACTCTGTGCATTTTATTTTATGTTAATTATTCCTCCAAATAATATTTGTAGTCATTTCTTGGGATAAAACTAAATTCCTTACCTTGGCCTTACAGGGTGAGTCCTTGCATATCTCTACAGCTTCATCTTGCTACTTTCTCTCCTTTATGTTATACTAGAGGCCCGGTGCACGAATTCATGCACCAGTGGGGTCCCTCGGCCTGGCCTGCGGGATCAGGTCGAAAACAGCTCTCCGACATCCCCTAAGGAGTCCCAGATTGCGAGAGGGTGCAGGCCAGGCCAAGGGACCCCACTGGTGCATGATCAGGGCCAGGGAGGGGTGTGGGAGGTTGGCTAGCCAGGAAGGGACTGTGGGAGGGCTCCAGGTTGGACTCCAGCCGCAAGTTAACCTACCAGTTAGAGTGTCTGCCCCCTGCTGGTCAGTGCATGCCATAGCGAGCAATTGAGCAGCCTTAGCATATCATTAGCATATTACACTTTGATTGGTTGAACAGATGACCAGACAACCAGACACTTAGCATATTATGCTTTTATTATATAGGACTAGAGGCCCGAGGCACCAAAATTTGTGCACTCCAGGGGGGGCGGGGGGACCCTCAGCCCGCCCTGTGCCCTCTCGCAGTCTGGGACCCCTTGGGAGATAACGACCTGCTGGCTTAGGCCTGCTCCCGGGTGGCAGAGGGCAGGCCCAATCCCTAGGTGCAGCCCCTGGTCGGGCTCAGAGCAGGGCCGATTGGGGAGTTGGGGCACTGCCCCCTGTCATACACAAAGCAGGGCGATCGGGAGGTTGTGATTCCACCCTCAGTCACGCTCAGGGTAGGGCTAATTGGGGTGTGGGGGCACCGCCCCCTGTCACACTCAAGGCAGGGTCGATGGGGAGGTTGCGGCGCCAC